AATAAAATTACAAATAATATAATTATTAGTAGTTTTTAAAGCAATCTATTGGCCTCATATTTTAAACCTACACATTTTATGTATTCTAATTGGTTTTAATATCCCCTCTTTTATATTTATTCCATGTTTCTTATATAAACTCTTTATTTTGTATTAGCAATAATATCATCCGTATCTGTCATCAGATTTTTACCTCGCACAGGTAAAAATAATTTCCTTTGGCCCAAATGGACTATTGTTTTTTTGGTCAAAATTATTACCTTTGCCCAAACGACCAACGCTCGTACAAACCACTTCGGAACGGTTTGGAATTGGGGAAAATATTTCTGAAAAGGAATTATGGCTATTCCGTTCGACGTGACGGTTCCAATCCGATCCGAACTAAATACCTCCAGTATTTTTAACTTATTAAAATGTATGCCATCAATTTTTTGTCGACTATTCTTATCCGATTCGACGTAATGTATTATTAAAATAACGTAATTGAAAAAGACAAAAAATTATAAATTAAATTAATAAATAAAAATACAAAATAATAATGAATAATATAATTTCGGGTATTATATCCATAATATCTATAATAATCCAGATTAATTTAATTCACAGTAAAACTGAAATGACTGTTATTGAATTAGGAAAAGAGAGCTACATGTTTATCGCTATATTTTTTTTATTGCTCTTGATAACACTTCATATAAATTTAATTAAATTCACTACAAAATCTCATTTAAAATTAATATAATTTTTATTACTTTGATAAACATTATCTCTTAGATACGACGAAACCCGTATATAGTTGTTATATAATACATATTCTAACATAAAATATATATTGCCTATATAAACCGGACCGAGTACCTAAAGCATATAGCTTTTTAATTTGGTAAGTAAACATTGGGTTGGGACCAGACCATTTTGGCCATGTAACGAGGATGGTCATATTAACCGATGTCGGTCGGAATCCACCGTATAACATTAAAAATAATTAAATAATTTATAAATAGTTATTAAATATTTTGTACAATATCAACATAATAAAAATCGTCATCACATTAAAACGGGTTTATTTAATTTTTATTTTTACATATATTTATTTTATTCATATTGATATTATTTTAAATATTTAACCACGAGTGCAATTCGATAATACTTACATATTTTGAGATAGTTCCTTTTTTCTTTAATGTAACGACAATTTGGTAGATATTATTTAAAAATAAGAAGCTCATGACTGGAGTTAAATCGTCAAAAGATTTGAAAAAATTAAAGAAACAATTAGTGACATTTTAAATGTCAAAGTTAATGGTGTACTAAAAAGAAATCATGTTAAACACAAATTAAAGCTGTTAAAATTGTTCTCAATGGTCTATTTTCTAAAGTTTTATTGGATGTAGAACTTTTTCTTAATTTAATCTACCCACTTACCCCGAACAAATTGTTCTGGCTTCGTTAAAATCACATGCATAACTGCTATAACGTTAAAACGTTACTTACGTACCTATCGCTTTGGTCATAAATTTATGGGTATGCCTACTAAATTTTAATTTAGTCCACCCAAATGTCCCTAAAAAATGTTTTTTCCGAGGCATTGACTTGGTAGAAAGTGCTTACAAGTCGTCTTGAAATGTTAAAAACGGCCGTTTTAATCAATATTGCAATCGAGATATGAACTAAAATTTACTAATTTTTTTTAATATAAATGTTCGACCAAGCACCTATAAGAGAAGTCAGAAATAACAGAAATCATACTAGTAAAATACGCCTTTTCAGCACATATTCGGCTATGCGAAGGAAAATCAATCCAGGGCCTTAATCGTGTGTGACGGTTGTACTTACGTATCTCATGAGCCACAGCCCGAAGCTTATCCAAGTTTCTACTGACGAGCGCCACGTTGATCCGTCGGTCGGCCAACTGTAAAACGATTACGTGTATTCGCGGACACAAAGTGGTTCGGGGTTCATATCATAACACTTGTCGCAGTGCAGGCGCGAAAATGATTATATTTTGCGTTCGTAACACGTTACTACCCGTCCGTAGGCTGCACGTAGCCTGTTTCGATGCGACTGTACACCAGTGGCGTCATTTCAGTTTTTCCTGTGGTCGAAATGCTTTTGATGAATTGCTGATTCGGGACCAATTAACGTACAGGGAAGAGGATGTCAAACCAGTCCAAAAATATAACTGATTTATACTTAGTGCATAAGTGTACCCATTTAGTACACGTCTTCTATATGTATATATATATTTTTTTTTAATTTACAACAGCCAAAGTTTGGACCACGGCAAATTCATGAGTTGCCTACCCCCTGCCACAAATGATGCCACAGATCGGCACGTCCGAAAACTGAAACCGGGACAGATAACGTCGTTTGGACACACCGTCCAGTGCAAAATATTAATCATTTCGCATCTCCACCACGAACCTTCAGGTTCGTGCGTACCTGAAGTGCGTACTCCTTGCCGATACCGTCTGTGCAACCCGTCACAACTGCGACCGAATTCGCGTGTTGTTTCCGATGGTCGCGCGGCAGCGCGAAAACAGCACCGAAAACAAACGGAAAACGTGACACAATAATATTTACAAAAGAAAAAAAAAATTAGAAATGTAAAGGGGAAAAAACAGGCAGCAAAATCAGACACGGAGGCGGAGGCGTAGCTATCAAAAAAACAAAATAAACACAATTGCTGGCCGGCATTCTACAATCTGTTGATTGGGGACAAAACCATCGCGTGCGGATTGGAACCTCGTCCGCAGGAACCGCGGGTAGAATTGGGCGCGTCAATATAAAAAAACAGTAAGATCGTCACAAATCGTTTGTCGGTTTGTCGCCCGGTGAAAATTCCTAATGAAAAAAAAAAAAAATGCGCCATGCGACGGAAAGATTTAGATTTAAAGAGGCGTAACGCGTACGTACTCGAAGAGTATGTGAATTGAAAAATCAAAAAAAAATGTTATCCTACTCGCGATCGGAATCACAGCATTACGTGGACACGCGATCGTTGTACGTAACAGATTCCCAAACGCGATTTCGTGATTCGATATACGGCCGAAAACCGTTTGAAAACAAAACGTCGGTCCGCGCATTGTTCACCGTCAGTTGTTTTTGGACTCGTGAGTAGGACCGCCGACGGGGCCCGAGGAGCACAAGATCCCTGCGATGGTTGTCCTTGTCGGGTCGGGACCCCGGTGCACGCCACGGCCCGGCAGAGGACGATGAACGACTCTTACCGGCCCAGCGACCTTCCATGCCGTCGAAATTCACGCCGTCGCAGCACGGGCATGTGGGCGTCCACGACTGTAGTGGCCGGCTGTATGGCAGCGCGTACCGGCACCAGCACGTGACCCGACGTCCCAGCCACAGGGCCCACGGGACCAGGCACCGGCGGACGACCATGGCTACGCCCACGTACCACATCATGTCGCCCGCGCACCAACGCAGCAGCCACCACCAAGAGTCCATCGGAACGGTCGAAACGAACGAATAGACTGGACGCGCGCGATCACTCGACTCGGAATGACACAGAATGAAGCGGCGTCGATCGGAAATGTCAAATGTCGTATGGAAACATAGGCAGAATATAAAACATTATTCCGTCATGAGTTACGCGGCGACAGCGCGCATAATGTCGACGCATAAATTGTACGATTTTTGTTTGTTCGATATTTTAATTTATTTCTTTTTTTTTTTTTTTGTCGTTCGCGCTGTTGTCGCGATATTCGACACAATGCACGTCGGCGTCGGGCTCTATAAATCCATATTATTATTACAACCGAAATGGTGCGCTTATGGAACGACGATTCCGTTTTCCTCTCAGTTTGACAGCTTTTTTCTGCGACGTTTTTACAACGTTTCGGGCGATCGCACGGACAAAAATCCCGTTTACCGGGTCGCTGATCTCATCGACTCTTACCTACTTACTTCAGTTTTTTTAATCGGCTCACAACTTCATACGGGTTTTTTTTTCATTTCCGAGTAATATTATTCGTGCATGGTTCAATTGCTTTCGTTTTGTATCAAGGGCGTATTTTAGTTGAGCGCATGGGTGCGGGGCGAAACTAATTTTTCTTCGAAACAAACTTAAAAAATAATTTAAAGTTCATTACCTCATATTCCTGTTGCTCTTTCGAATGAATAAATAAAAATAAAAGTACCAAATTGAATTTAATATTTATGTAATAATTATATTTAAAACCTACTGCATATAAAATAAGTATTAATAATAACAACACAAATAGTTCCTATATTAAAATTGTACCTTCCGTCTGAATCCTGTTTAAAAAAAAACAACAAATAATTATAGTAGTACGAGTAATAGTGACTATTAATTATTTTTTAAAAATTTTAAAAAAAAAATTAAGATGGTGACTTAATTTAACAAATATCTATGTAGAAAACATAAGGTTGGTAAGTAGTCAAATAACAAATTCCAAATTTCTTTTTTTCATTTTGGCAAATTTGTTGATTGTTTCATCAATGGATACAATAATATTTTTATGCACATGCAGCAAAGCCAAAACTGTTAGCCTATGCTGACCTATTCGTGATTTTAACCATGTTTTCAATCTACAAAAATATATTTTTGGCCAATATTTGCAAGTTAAAAAATATGGAAACAAATATTGTCAGTTACTGATTATTATTTGGTTTAAGGGCTTCTAGCTCTATAAAATACATAAATATGCAAATATCTGTGCATAAAAAAAAGATTAAATATCTATGCGCAACAAAAAATACCAGATATTATGTTGTAAAAAAAAAAATAGGTGAGTAAAATTATTAAGGACTTATATAGCTATAATAATTACAAAAATATAGAATATGCATAAATGCACCAAAAAATGACTAACTAGTAAATATGTGGTAAAAAAAGTTTTACTTTAAATTACTTTATATTATCTGATAAATACCTCGGTTATGGCTGTAAATTTCTATAACGGTAGGAATATCCGTGGAAGATAATACCATTATTCGTTCCACAACCAAAAATGTTATGATATAAGAAGATAAACAAGAATGTGATCAAATTGATTCATTATTGAATTTATTATCATATTTTAATAATAAACTAGTATTTTATATTCATAATGTTTTATATATTACATTTTTTAAATAAATCAATGTAGTATATTCAAAAAAAAAATATGAGCTATGGGGGAGGGCGAATGCCCCTTTTGCCATCCCCCTTAAAATACGCTTTAGCTTACATGTGTGTGTACGTGAACCACGATTAAAGATATAGGTGTATCTTTAATCGTGTTCTAAACATCACTACCTCAATCCACATCAATATCTTCGTATTCCTGATTATCGTAATTTATATATTTTTTTCCATCAAAATAGCGGCCGGTAAATGGATTTATTCCTGCATTTAAAATTTGTACATTTCACGCATTGATGAAGGTCTGAATTCAGCTGTAAGTCTGGTACGGTTAAACGGAAAATGCTAGATGAGATACGGATGTATATATTCAGGGTCGTCGATTGTTGAATAATCTTTGATAAAGTGGCCATTTGTTGGATTTATCCCGGTCTTGACAATTTAAGTAGGTATATTTTTCTAGCATCGTTAAGAGATATAATGTCTTAGATTTGGGTTCGAGTCGATTCGTTTTTTCTTAAGTATTTATAAGGAAAGAATTTTAGTAAATTTGTATGTAATTAAATACTATCAACAAACCAATAACCGTCTTTAAAGCGGCAAGTAGGTGGATTTATCTCGTTATCATTAACCTGTTTGATCATTTCGTCTAATGTCAAAATATATCTGGTTTTGGACTTAGGTCCTGGTTTCATAGTTTTTCTTTCGTTTTTAAATTCATAGTTTTTTATTAAATATGGATGTAGGTTTTCAATTTCACAACTATATGGTTCTTTATAATGTAAACATAAGACCCGTTGTTGTAATCGAGAGAACTACAAAAACCATCATCATTTATTTCTTTATCATTACTTATTTGCGGAATTTGCTCAACAACTATTGGATTTTCTTCAATCGATTCCGAATCCGAAATTTCAAATTCCATACCTAAATCATTATCTTCTAAGTCCATATCATAGGCGTGTGCACGGGGTATGCAGGGTATTCCGCTGCATAGTCTGCGGCTTCATGTGAGGGGCCCAGTGGCGTAGCCAGGGGGGGGGGGGCTAAGGGGGCTATAGCCCCCCATGGGCCGTGTTTATATGTATAATGTATCTTGACTATTTAATAGAATCAATGGATGCTCGTTTTAATCAAAGGCTTATTGATGTTATGCCACTTGAAGGACTTATTCCGACCAATTTACCGACCAACCGATAAAAATATTATAAAAACTGCTAAAATATATGTCCAAGATCTCCATGATGATACATCATCTACAATCAGAGCTAACCTATTCATATGGAGGCAACAATGGAGTCAAAATACTATTCCAAAACCGAATTCTGCTCTTGATTCACTCTCTCATCACACCAATCTTCGACCTAACATTAAAATACTTTTACAATTATTCGCCACGTTACCAGTTACCTCTTTCACTCCGGAAAGAACGTTTTCAGCACTTAATCGCTTAAAAATTTTTTTTAAGAAGCACCATGTCGGAAAACAGACTGAATGGGTTAGCTATGGCTAATATAAATAAAAAAGAGCAATTCGATGAAAGTGAAATAATAACTAAATTTGCCAGAAATTCGCCTAAGAAGATGCAGCTGTCAGAGTGGAGCAAGTGACTGAACACTGAAACTAAAATTATTATTATTATTATTATTATAAATTATATATTAATAAATATTTTTAAAACTATACTAAAATGCTTGAACTACGTTTAGAAACTTGGTGGTAGATGGTGAGGGGGGGGGGGTAAGGCTGAATTCTCATATCCTCTCTTACCTTACTTATCCAAAAAAGTAGTTAGCCCCCCCCCCATTTAAAAATCCTGGCTACGCCACTGGAGGGGCCCATATTTATTATTAAGTTAAGAAACTTTAAATTTAATTACCGCCACAGGAAATTTAAATCAATTAAAGCTTGATAGTAATGATATTTCAATATTGAAGGAAAAATTTAATTTGAATACTACATTTGAGTCTGAAATTAAGCTCATTAAAAATATGTCTGATAGAACTTCTATTAGAGGGTTATCAACTAAAACAATTGTAGTATGGCTGAATTGGTTATCAGAAAACGACCGGAAAACAATATTTTCAAACTTCAATAAAGCTTTAACACAATTTGCAACAATACCTGTGACAAGCTGCTCGTGTGAGAGGGATTTTTCTAAATTGTCTATTGTAAAGTCTAAACTTAGAAACACTATGTTACAAGAACGTCTTGATTCACTAATGTTAATATTTATCGAGCAAAAGATGGCATCAGAAATCAATATTGAAGATGTAATAGATGAATTCAAAGCATGTGTGCCGATAAAAAGAAGACTTGAACATTAGATTTTAAGTACTCTCCATAAAATAACAACATTATAAATATGTTAAAATTATTCAAAAGCATTCAATATAGTACATGCTTGATCTTAAATAAATAATAAATTTTTTTTTAATAAATATAAATCAAATTTCAAACTACTTATTTCTACAGTGCATTGTTTAATATTCTACTGTAAAATTATGTGTGATTTTAGATTCTAAGGGAAGTAAAGAAGCTACGTAGTATATATGCAAAAAACTTAGATTGTGACTTGAATCTTATATGCGTTAAAAGAAAATGCAAATAAATTAAGGAAAGATTAGAAAATTTATTTGTGAGGGGCCCTATATTTCTTATTGCATAATCTGCGAATAAAGTCTGCGCACGCTTATGGTCCATATTATTATATTGTATATACAATATGCATAAATGCACCAAAAAATTACTAACTATTAAATATGTGGTAAAAAATGTTACTTTAAATTACTTTATATTACCTAATAAATACCTCTGTTATGGTTGTAAATGCCTATAACCGTAGCAAAATCCGTGGAAGATAATACCATTATTCGTCCTTCAACCAAAAATGTTATGATATGTGATCAAATTGACAAATAACATACCCAATTACTAACTAGTTGCCAATGACCAAATACAATACCATTGATTATAAATACTATTATATTGCTAAAGTATTTATAATCCTATGGTAATATTAATTCTTAGAACAGAAATAGCAAAAAATAATGCATGTCTACATTAATGCAGGTCTTTAAAATTAAAGATCCACTAGACTACCTTCCATAATGTAAATACCAGTCAACATATTTTATTTATAGTACCTAGGTAAATATTTAGGCCCCAAATTCAGATTTGCATACCAATCCCATAGTGTGTAGTTGCGGCACTTCATGCAAGGATAGGCTACTTTTCAATTACAGTTTTATAAACTATCGTTAAATTATTTCAAGTATTATTATGTTTGTTATCTGAATGATTTACAAATATGTGGCAAACATGCACATTTGAAAAATTATTTTGAGCATTTATGATTATGAACGTGGCTCGTAATACAGGTATATATAATGAGGCACCTCTAGTTACTAAAACTGCGCCTGTTTTAGTTATATGTTTAAGTCATTTAAGATTGCCAAAATAATTCTTGC